CTTCCTTTTTCTCCTAGCCATTAGATCCAAGAACTCTGTCTGCTTCATTCCTTCCTTAAACTCAACTTTGCCCAAATTAATTCCTTGACCTCCTGGGTTCCCTAATCCAGAAGGTCTCCAAACCTCTCCCTTTGGGCTCACGCAGGTTTCCGTGGTGGCTCACATGGTGAGCTTACAATGCAGGAGATGCGGGTTTGACCCCTGGATCAGGAAGACCCCTTGGAGAAGGAAATGGCAACCCTTTCCAGTATTCTTGCCTGGGAAATCCCATGGACAGAGGAGCATGGAGGGTTATAGTCCATGGGGTCTCAAAGAGTTGGTCATGACTGAGCGACTGACTCTGACTAACTGGCTACACAGAGGCTCCATCACGGCTGGTTAACCGATTGTAACACTGACCACTGGTGTCTGAACTCAGTTTCCAGCCATTCCTCCAGGGCTGGGCTCGAAGTTCTCACTCCTGATCACGCTCGTGTGGACTTTCCAAGAGTCAACACATTAATATAACAAAAGGCTCCTTTGCTGCTAGGAAACCCCCAGGGTTTTAGGAGCTCTATGCTAGGAACAAGATAAAGATCAAATATATGTATTTCTTATTATAAACCACAACATCACAGTAGCTATGATCATGGACCCCATTTTCTGGATGAGGAAGCTGAGGCAGAGAGTGAGGCAGTGAGCACAGGCAAGTGACTGGCAGGGTCAGCTCAGCCCTGAGCTGTGGCTCCAGGGCTTGTCCAGTGCATCAGGTCACCACTCCACCCCCACCCCCACGCCCCACTGGGTCCTGAAGACAAGCACAGGGTGCCTTTCCATTAAGTGTTATATTACCGACAGAACCAGGGTCTGTTCATCTGCCTGCCAATCTGCTGACACCAGGTTGTGGTGAAGGAAAGTGCAGGGTTTATTACATCAAGCAAGGAGAACAGGCAGCTCATCCTCAGTGCCCTGGCCCAGCCCTGCTCCCACCCCTCCACCCACAGAGCACATGCTGAAATGCTGGTCCACCTGTCGCCTTTTTTCTCAGAGGCTTGGGGGGTTCTCACAGCTCTTGGATTGTGAAGAGCATCTTGGGCACTGCGGCCAAGACCTGTCTTCCTCTCACCGCCTCTGTGGCCCCTGAGTTCAGGCTCTTCCCTCGGTCCTGGAACAGGCATAGCACCCCCTCCACCACGAGCCTCTCCCCTTGTCCCCTCCCATGGCCTGTCCTCTTCTCCTGGTCAAGGCCATCACTGCAGCTTTTGGTGAGGCTAAACCCTCAGACCCAACCACAGTTGATGAGCTCTGTGCTCTGAGAACCATGGCCGCCCGTCTCTCACATGTGAGGGTCCTCACTTTCCTGTCCTTGGTCTCACTTCCCACCCAGCGGCCTCTGGGAGGGGTCTTCCCCACCGCTGTGTCATCGGCATTCACGAAGCTGCTGTCCAGTCATGAACCAATAAAGCATGGATGGAACTCTTTCTCAGATGAAATGTCTTCTTAAAATCACCCTTGCTGGCTGTTGACAAGTCCAGGCGTCCAGCCAGAGGGCATGCTATGGCCTCCTCATCTGGCTTGTTGCTTTAATACTCAACCCCTGGGACTGGCATTATTTCTACGTCTCTGCTCCTATGAGCTCTCCCTGGTGAGCTGTTGAGAACTGGTCCAATTACAGACCTTGTGTCTCTACCTGCAAGTCTGCATTCTGTTAGGACTTTGGTTAGAATTTGCTCCAGTCAGCATGGGGTTTCCCTGGGGTTGTTGGAAGGGTGGATGTAGGGGTGATTTGCAGGTGTTTTAAAAACCTGCAGCCCGTCTAAGGGCTTTCCAGGTGGCTCAGTGGTAAAGACCTTGCCTGCCAATGCAGGAGACATAAGAGAAGTGGGTTCGATCCCTGGGTGGGGAAGATCTCCTGGAGGAGGGAGATCAACCACTCTAGTATTCTTGCCTGGAGAATCTCATGGACAGAGGAGCCTGGTGGACTACAGTCCCTGGGTCACAAAGAGTCTGACGTGACTGAAGTGACATAGCACACACGCATACACAGGTCATCTAACCTCCCAGAACTGATTTTTTTTTCATTTATTTTTATTAGTTGGAGGCTAATTACTTTACAATATTGTAGTGGTTTTTGTCATACATTGACATGAATTAGCCATGGATTTACATGTATTCCCCATCCCGATCCCCTTTAGTTGGAGGCTAATTACTTTACAATATTGTAGTGGTTTTTGTCATACATTGACATGAATTAGCCATGGATTTACATATATTCCCCATCCCGATCCCCCCTCCCACCTCCCTCTCGACCCGATCCCTCTGGGTCATCCCAGTGCACCAGGTCTGAGCATTTGTCTCATGCATCCAACCTGAGCTGGTGACCAGAACTGATTTTTAAACCCTCAGATTCACTAAGACTTAAGTCCAGGTGCTTGGTTCCTAGTTGTCAAGGAATAGGAAAGAGTTTAATTAAACAAACAAACCACAATGCAGTTTGTGGGTTGGACTGTATCTGACTCTGGAACAAATCATCTTTTTTCTAAAAAACACTTCCTTCCCATATACAAGGAATTATTTTTGTATTAATCATGTGTAGAAACAAATAATAAAACATCAGTAAGAAAACATAGTCAATGGAAACTTATATTCTATTTTGTGTATAAACTCATTCCAGTTTGAAAGAAATCACAAGTCTATTTTACTAAAATGAAAGTGTCCAGAAAAAGTATAGTTCAGACAGTGACTAAATCATACCACTGTTGTAATGTTTCATTTTCTTGATTCATTCTTGAGTTTTAAAACAAATAACTATTAGAAAAGTAAATTTAAGTTTTAAAGTTATTCAAAATCAGTAAACTGTTTTCTGTGTGAACAAAACTATGAACTCACTAAACAAAAATCTTATACATCACAATTCACATCCATTTAAATTTTACCATTTTAAAATCAGAATACAAGCAAAAATGCCAAGGAGTCATGCGGTTGACAGAGGTGAACAAATAAGTTCTACTTCTCTGTCTTTAAACCAACTGTATATCATTATTCATTCTGAATCCACCACTGTTTAGATATAGAAACACTTTGGTACTGCAGGTTCCCTGATTGTACCTGAAGTGAGCATGAAGCGTTCTGAACTGTTACAAACTCATCCTGGAAAGAAACAGGTGTGGCTGTGTCTGTGTGTCAGTGGCTGGGGGCTGGGGGGTCCTCTTAGTTATCAATAATCTCCACAAAGGGGAGTAAAATGTAGGACCGAACAGCAAAATATTTATAATCTAAAATCTCAATCTGTGGGGGATAGAGACAACTTTTTAATGTAATAAAAAGCCGCTACTTGGAAGCTTAGTTAAAACTCAGTTGCTATTGTCAGCTGTTGGGTCGTGTCTGACTTAGTGACCACATGGCCTGCAGCACGCCAGGCTCATGTGTCCTTCTTTATCTCCTGGAGTTTGCTCAGACTCCTGTCCATTGAATTGGTGATGCCATCCAAGCATCTTATCTTCTCGTAGTTCTTTTCTAGTTGCTATAAGTGTAAGTTTAGATTGCTTATTTTGCACTTTTCTCTTTTCTTGAGGTAAGCTTGTGCTGCTATAAACTTCCCTCTTAGAACGACTTTTGCTGCATCCCATAGGTTTTGGGTTGTTGTGTTTTTATTGTTGTCTGTTTCAGGTATTTTTTACTTTTCTTTCTGACTCTTCAGTGACTTGTTGGTTACTTAGAAGTGTTTAGTTTAGCCTCCATGTATTTGTGTTTTTTAGGTTTTTTTTCCCCTGTAATTGATACCTAGTCTTATAGCATTGTGGTCAGAAAAGATAAGGGTGGGATGATTTGAGAGAGGAGCATTGAATCATATACAGTATCATATGTAAAGTAGATAGCCAGTGGGAATTTGCTAGATGACACAGGTAACCCAAAGCTGATGCTCTGTGACAACCTACAGGGGTGGGATAAGGTGGGCTGTGGAGGAAGGTTCAAGAAGGAGGGGACATATGTGTACCTGTGGCTGATTCATGTTGACGTATGGCAGAAACCATCACAATATCATAATTATCTTCCAATTAAAAACTCAGTAGTAACCAAACAATTGTTTAGAACTTCGGCCAATCGACCCTGCCCCGCCTTTCCCCCACCCCACCCACAGCCCCTTAAGAGTATTTTATCCCTGACATCGTTGAGAGTTGCCAGTGAAGGGTGGTAATGAAACGTTAGAATTTCATTTGCCTTAATGCATCCTCACCGTTGGGTCCCCAGGTCAATGTCCCCTCCGTCTTCAGCTTTGGATGACAGAAGTTGAGACTAAAAGCTGGAAACTGGTGACCTGCCATGTACCTGCCTTCCTGTGGTCATTCACATTCGTGCCATCTGCTGGCGCTCAAGCACTTTCTGCACACACGTTCCAGGCCAGGTGCTGCCTTAAGTGCTGGAGTGAATGTTGACTAAGATGTGGGACCAGACACAAAAGACTTTACAATCCCGTGTGGGTACGGACAAGTGAATTGCTGAGTGTGGACAGAGCAGCAGAGCTAACTTGGGAGCATGAAGGGCTCAGATGCTGACGGGGTCCCCGGAGGGCCTGGCATTTGGAGTGAGACTCTGGTGCCTCCAAATCCGACCACTGTGTCTGGGCTGACACTTGATGCCACTCCCCTGTCTCCTAGGTCCCTCTTCCATTAAAATTCACTGCCTGAGCTTTCTGTTTTCTACGCAACTCAGCACCAGGACTCCTCGGGTCACGCAGTAGTGTCTGGTCCCTCCCGTTTGCCCCTTCCCCTTTGTCCCAGGGAAGGACGTCAGACCGTGAACCCTCGGGACTGCGAACTGGCCCATCCTCCACGTGTCCTTTCCCACAGTGACCAGGTGGGACCCGGGACCGAGCACAGCTGGAGTTCCTGACGTCAGAGGCTTCATACTCTCAGTAGAGATGCAGCCAAGTATTTGCATACGGACACTGAAGATAGAATTATGTTACAGACTAGAGAACTAGGATGCACTTTCCAGAATAATGGAAATTTTAAAAGTCCTTGCAGTATTCAAGTCTTATATTTGACTTAGTTTAGAAAGCCATCTAGTTTCTTAGTTTGGAAAGAATGGTTGAAATGAGCACAGGGCCGGTGGAGAGCCTGCTTTCCGAGGCTCTTGGGTCGGGATGAAGGATGAGGTTGTTTCCCAGTAGCTGCCTGTTTATTGCTATTTGGCTCAGAGCTCTGTGCAGAAGTTGATTGAGGTTCCTTTCATCTTTTGCCTGTAGATTTCATCAAATATTTCATTCTGAGCCACCGTGAAGTGGTTTTTCCAATCTCCCACGATTCCTGGAAGGGGAAAGCCCAGACGAGCGTCACTGCTTGGGAGTCCTGGTGACCCAAGTGAAGGGATTTGTGCCTGCACACTGTTTCACCCACGTCCCTGGCGGTACCCCTCCTCCTGCTGCTCTTGGCTGAGATGCGCCCCAGGGCACCTAATCAGAGGTCAGGGCCCCTAAATCAGAGGACGATCGACCCCAAGGAGCTGCAGCTGGGTGCCACCTGAGGTCTGCTCACATGAAGGGCGACCACAGAGAAGTGAGAAAGTGTGCGCTTCTAACACTTGGCCACTTGGGAGAATCTCCAAATGTCCACTGAGTAAAAGACTCCAGATACAAGATAGTCTGTTGCCTGATTTGTTCAAGGGAGCCTGGGATCAGGCACAATAAGGAGCGTCTCCAGGGGCAGAGATGGCCTGGAGAGGGGCAGGAGAAGGGCGTTTGTGGGGAGGAAGATGTTTAAGGTTTGATTAGGGTACGGGTTGCATGTGTGCACTCATGGATCAAGTCTTGTTAAATGTACGCTGCAGTTCACTGGAGGTAAGTTCCAGCCCAAAGGAAAAAGATTTGGGGGAAAAATATGAATGAGGTACTATTTTTCACCCAACAGTAACTATGAAAAATAACTTCAAAAGAGGGAAATACTCTTTGCCCCACCAGTGCTTCTTCTGGAAAATTATGCACAAGAAGGAAGAGTGTCAGGATGTGAGAACGTAGGCACAGAGCGGTTTGCTGGAGTGTGATTCACAAAGTTAAGGACTGAAAACAGCCAGAGCTGAGAGTCTGACTCTTGGGGAAGAGCTGATGAGTTATGATGCATCTGGACACAAGCCTCCAAACAGAGAACTCTGTGGCCCCACCGTGCCCTGCCCTTGTGGCGCATTTGAGACTCTGGTGAGGAATGTGTGTTGTGGGACCGGCCGGAGTTTTGTGGGGTTGGCTCTCACCGTGGTGCCTGTATGTCTGCAGAGCTGAGGGGAGGGACTGTGGGGAGCTGGGCAGCTCACCAGATCCTTACCCGAGACTACCCAGGGAGAGAAGTGGATTTGCTTGGCTTGTTTCAGTAACAGGGAAGCTGTTGTAGACTGGAAAATGCAGCAAAAGAAATCCAGTTGTGTGTGAAGAAAGAAGAAAAGAAGTTGCAAAGCAATGGTCCCCACAGCTGAGACTGTATCGATAAAACTGCTACAGAGGGGCTTTGGGGAGCAGGGTTTTGGTAAAGAGAACTTTTAAAATGTGAATTTATGTTTTCATAATCACACATATTACTTTTTAAATTAAACAGTGATAAACGGTTTTAATTTTTCCCTTGGAAAACATTGTGGTGTTGCTTTTGTTCAATTGCTAAGTCATGTTCGACTCTTGTGACCCCATGGACTGTAGCCCGCCAGGCTCCTTTGTCCATGGGGATTCTCCAGGCAAGAATACTGGAGTGGGTTGCCATTCCCTTCTCCAGGGGATCTTCCTGACCCAGAGATTGAACCTAGGTCTCCTGCATTGGCAGGTGGGTTCTTTACAGCTGAGCCTCTGGGAAGCCCCCATAAAAAACATCAGCTGGGCCAATTAGGATCCTTCTCTTAGGAATTGGAATGAAGAAGTATTATGGAAAGAGGTAGATCTGAGCAGTAGTTGCCATTGAAAGTCATGCTGTTCGCCATGATGAGACTGGCTGATGAGCAGAGACTACGAAGCAGGAAGAAGAAGCAACGGGCAGGAAGGCAGGAAGCTGGTCGGTGGAGAAGAGCCCTCATCTCTGTGTGCAGAACCTCGGAGTAAAGACCCAGACCTTGCTGCTGCTGGGGTTCTAGGCCTCAGGTCAGGCGTTCCTAGGATGTCTGGACCGGCCCCCTAAGGAAGGCGAGCTCTCCTCTCTGAGGGCCTCCAGCAGCAGGCATGATGCACGATGCACTGTCCTGGGACTGGTGAAGCCCAGCGCCCTCCTATCAGGAGGGCAGGCACCATGCTACCAGGCAGATAGAATACTTGGTTTACATCCATCTCTGTGCAGTCTGTGCAGCCCACCCACCTTTCCTCATGAAGGGGGAGATGGACTGGTCCAGGACGGTCTTGGGAGCTGTGGAACGGTTGGTCATGGGGTTTGCCTTCATCTTCTCAAACGTTGTCTCCTGGACAATGGTGTCCAGCACGGCTCCATCCAAATTCTTCCCCATGAACTTCATCACTTTCTGAATTTCCTGCTTTGGGTTCTGTGGGATGGGTAACACGGCAATGGAAGGATGGTGTCAGAAGGTCACACTTGTTCTCCTGCAAGACATGCAGCCTGGAAGTAGCCCAGGGTCTCTCAGAGCTGGGTCTGACATGGTCTCTACCCACGTGGCCTATACTCACCCTCTTGATGTCCTCATAGAAGAGAAAGAGCATCCGGACGCTGTCTCTCAGCTCCCACCAGCCTCTCACATGCTCGAACCAGGACCCCCATGCGACTGTAAGACACAGAGAACACAGCAGAGAGCCCATGCAGGGCCCTGCAAAGCCTTCCAGTGCTCAGGGATGTGATTGACCTCAAGTGCATTGGAGAGAGAGGGAAACAGATTACCAGCCAGATACATTCATGAGTTGTGATCTGTTTGATGTGGAGGGTGAGGCAGAATGGGGCAGCCTCAGGGGAATTTATCCCAACCTGCCTGCCAATGTGGTTTCACATATATTGTCTGTCATCACAATGCCCTTATGACGGGACAGGGATGCTTTTGGAAAGGGGAGACCCTGCAGGTCGGGTGACCAGGAATAAAAGCTTCCAGATCTGGTGGGGACGTCTTCTGGGGCCATGGGAGGACTCAGTGTCCTGGGGGGGGTGCGTGGTGTGTGGAGACCTGGCTGAGCCACACAGCCGTGGTGGTGGAGAGATGGGAGGGGACCCCCTACCTTTTCCACTGATGAAGGTTTCAAAGTACTGGTCCCAGGTGCCTGGATTGGGGAGCGTCCGGTTCATCCTCTGGAAGTGGTAGTAGGACACCAGACAGTCCTTGGCATTTCGAGCAACATAGAGGAACTTGAAGGAAAGAGTGTAGAGAGGGAGTGAAGTGTCATAGAGGGTGGTTTTCATAGGGTCACCAACACTCAGCTGTCCCAGGGGGCCTGTGCCTGCTGCTCACCTGGGCTGTGCCACCCACACTCCCTGGGGTCCCCGCCTCCCTTCCTGGCTCCTCCCCACAAGGCAGCTGGTTCCTTGTGACCCCTTGATCTCCTAGAACAATCTTTATCCAGAAACTAGGGCCTCCTGACAGACAGCAGCTGTAATGGTGGCTGTGATGGCCCCCGAATGCCTTCATCCTGGTCTCCCTGGAGGTCAGCTTCATGGTAACAGTGTGGATACGTTCTAGGCCTCACTGCGCTCAGTACCTCTGCTGTCCCCACCAAGCATCCCATGGGTTTCATCTCAACCGTGACTCTGGATCCTCAGCCCGGGAGGTGGAGGAGCACACATGACGGCGGATGTCTGGGGTTGGAGCGTTCGCTCCCTCCGTCCTGAAATGTTGGTACCTTGCAGTTGCTTTCCCAGAAGGATGGAGGCAGCAGCTGGGCAGGGAGGTGGGTCCTCAGCACCCGGGGCCGAGGCATTGCTCCGGCCTTCTCCACACCTTTAAAGAGATCGAGAGGAGGACCTTGTCCCACAAGCATCACAGGGGGACCTCTGTCCAGAGTGTTGGTCACCCGCCTACGTTTCTGCTCTTGGGAGATTTCAGGGTGGGCCCACGGCCTTTACCTGCAGGTGGCGCACATGCTCTGCAGCTGCAGGATCTCAGTTTGGGGGGGAGGAGCCAAGGGAGAGGGGTCCCAGAGCATAGGCCCCCATCCCCACCAAACTGCCTGGTGTGCTGGCTGTTTTCTTCCTCTCTGAGAACTGTGACCCTGATGGCTTATGGGTCCTGACTCCTACTCGCTCCCTGGAGACACCAACCCGGCACCTGCTCTGTGTGATCTACGTGTTATGGGTGGGGAGAGAGTGTGTCCCTGAGATCAAGAAGGCACGACCTTCTCCCTAGAAGCAGCTGCTCCTGTGTGGGAATCAGATGCTGATGCAAATACCTCCGCGTCCTTAAACCAACCGGATGATACTGTGATGAGGACACATGTCCTGGCACCTGTGTCCAAACCCCCAGGAAGAGCTGGCAGGTGACCCTGGGCTCTGGGAGATGACCTGTTGGTCAATTCAGGGTCACTAGTTGTAACCAGGGCCCTGGCCAGGGGTGGGGCAGCGGGGAGGAGCACTCACCGGAGGGCTGGGGAGGCCGAGCCCACTCGAGAAATGGGTGGCGGTGTTGGATGGCCGCCCTCTGACACTTGTCCACATCCCCGCTCTGCTCAATCAAGTCCACAATTTCCTGGATCCACGTGGTCCCTGCGGCCAGATGGAGAGATGAGAGGAAGAAACTGGTCAGACAACTGCCTCCTTCACCCTGGTGGACTGATGGGTTTTCAGGTCAACCTCTCCCCCACCCAAGGGCCCACAGCCCAGCAGGTGGGTCCCCCAAAGCCGTAAGCCCATAAACCCAGGGGCTCAAGCTCCCTGAGGAGCCTGTCCTTGGGGCAGGAAAGCAGGGCCCTCTGACCCCCACAGGCATTCATCCAGGGACTGTGGGCTCGAGGGAGCTTGCCGACCCAGCCCACAGCTACCTGACTTAGGGTAGGTACAGATGAGGAGGTCATCAGACTGGGCCTTGAAGCCCTGGATCTGGGGCCAGTTGTCCACGGTGGTGGCTGGCAGGGGGATCCCCGCCACCTCCCCTAGTGAGGGCTGTGTCCCCGCCGTGGTCAGGGCCATGGGGTCTGGGGATGAGACGGCAGTCCCTATGGGCAGAGAATAGAGGAGGTTTTTGAAAAATTGTGGCTCAATACTCATCACATGGCATTTACCATTTTATCCACTTGTAAATGCAAGCTCATTGTTGTGCAACCGTCACCACCGTGATCTCCAGAATGTCTTATCTCCCCAAAGTGAAACCACCCATTAAACACTAATTCCGCATCCCCTCCCCTGTCCCCAGCCCTGACTATTCTATGCTCTGTCTCTGTGGACCTGACTCCTCCAGGGACCTCACACAAGGGGAACCAGACAGTGCTTGTCCATTGAGGACCTGCCATAATGTCCTCAAGATCCATCCATGTTGTAGCAGGTGTCAGAATTTCCTTCCTTTCTGAGAGTGAATTCACCCTCAGAAAGCACTGCATTTCATTTATTTATTTATTTTTGGCTGAGTACCAATTTATTATGTAAAACATGAACATTTTTCATATACAAGAAGATATCGTGGTAGAAAAGATCTTGTTTACAACAGCAGAAAAGAAAAACCCAAATGTAAATGTAAATATGCATATAAATACATTATGTATATAAACACAGGTATTGAGTTTCACGAAGAATCTATGAGATATAAATTTTTTTTATGTGGACCATTTTAAAAGATGTCTATTGAATTTGTTACAATATTGATGTTGTTTTATATTTTGTCTTTTTTTTTTTTGGCTGCGAGGCATGCGAAATCTTAGTTCTCTGACCAGAGATTGAACTCAAACCCGCATCAAAGCTGAAGTCTTCATCACTGGACTATCAGGGAAGTCATTATAAATATTTACTCATATAAATAAATGAAAATTTTCATTCCCATGAGGTGCAGAGGAAAAAAGTGAAAAGACATAAATAAGTGGAAAGACAATTGTATAGAAAATCTCACCATCAGAGATTTAACACATTCCCAGTAAAAATAACAACAGAACTGTTTGCAAACAAACAAGCTGATGAGGACTGAATTTTATTCATTCATTCATGCATGAACCCTTCCAACTTTTAATTGTTGAAAATGAAGCTGCTATGAACATGGGTGTACAAATATCTCTTCAATACCCTGCTTTCAGTCCTTTTGGAAAAATACCCCAAAGTGGGGTTGCTGGACCATTTATGAGCCTATGTTCACTCAAGTGAGGACTTGCCATCCCATCGCCCACAGCAGCTGCACTTTTACATCCCCACCGGCGGTATATGAGGTTTCTGGTTTCTTTTCATCCTTACCAACACTTGTCATTCTCTGTTGTTGTTGTTGTTTTAATTTAATAGTAGCCATCCTAAAGAGTGAGAGGCGGCATCTCTTTGTGCTTTGGAGTTTCATTTCCCCCCAAATGTGCGCCTTTGTCATTTGTATGTTTCCTCTGGAGAATGTCCATTTAAATTCTTTGTCTGATTTAGAATCAGGTTGTTTGTTTTGTTGTTCTGTTGAAAGAGTCTTAAATGCATGAAATGAGAAAGGCAGGAAGAACTGCCTCTATTTCCTAGGACAGCTGGCTACTGTGATTCCAGAGATGTTGTCTGCTGCCACTAGGGACACTGGCAATAGTCAGAATCTAACAGTCACTGGATACTTAGATTCACATGTTACACCTGTTAACTCATTCTGACTCTTGAATAAAATGAAAAGGTCCTTCCAGGATAGTTAGGGAATTTGGAATGGAAATGTACACACTGCCATATTTAAAATGGATGACCAGCAAGGACATACTGTATAGCTCAGGGAACTCTGTTCAAGGTTATGTGGCAGCCTGGATGGGAGGGAGTTTGGGGAGAATGCATACATGTGTATCTATGACTAAGTCCCTTTGCTGTTCACCTGAAATGATCACATTTTTAATCGACTATACCCCAGTACAAAATAAAAAGTTTAAAAGAAATGGAAGGCAGGAGAAGCTGCCTTCTCTTCCTGCCATCTTCTTCCTGAAGATGTGCCTATAAACGGTTATTGGGAATTGAGTGGGGGGCTGGTGCAGCCCCGCTGGGGAGCTGGTGGGAGGCTAGTGCTCACCACATCCAGGCCTGTCATTAAGGGATTCCTGACCTCAGAGCAAATCCAGTCCTTCAGAGGGGCAGCTGTGTTTGCAAAGTGTCAGAGAAGGTAAAGTTTGGACAAAAGTCCTGAGATTATGGTGGGTTTCAGGAGAGAGGAGGGAAGAGAACAAAGCTTCTAATGGGCTTTCACGGTAGGTCTTCTACAAACTTTTCTAATTTGTAAATAAATCAAGGATTTATCAGGAAGGAATGTTAACACCCTCACACAAGTGATTCTGCTCAGAGCCTCTTGAACAACAATACTTGCTCAGAAATGCAGCCAAAGCCTGCCTGGTAATCCCACATTCCTTCATTAAGAATTACCTCTTATATGCCAAAAAAAAAAAAAAAAAAGTATGTATACATATGCTTAACAGAATTACTTTGCTGTGCAGCAGAAATTAACACATTGTAAATCAATTACACTTCAGTCATAAAAAAGAATTACTAGGATTTCCCTGGTGGTCCAGTGTTTAAGAATCTGCCTGCCAATGCATGGGACACAAGTTCAATCCCTGGTCCTGGAAGATTCCACATACTACGAAGCAACTCAGCCCGTTTGCTGCAGCTACTGAAGCCCGTGTACTCTAGAGCCTTTGCTTGGCAACAAAAGAAGCCACTACCATGATAAGCCTGCACACAGCAACTAAAGAGTAGCCCCCACTCGCCACAACAAGAGAAGGCCTGTGCATAGCAACGAAGACTAGTGCAACCAAAAATAAATTAAAAAGAGAACTACTCTTTTAATTATGAGTATAAACATATACGTTACATAAAATTTAAAATAAGCCCAGATATGCAAGGAAAAAAAAATCTATTGCATGAGTTGTTATTATTTTGATATATTTCTTTTAAAAATATATATTGTGTTAGGTAGAATAATAGCCCCAAAGATGTCTGAGTCTTAATTTCTGCTCCTTCCACTGTCTGGTGAAGGACTTTGCAGATGGAATTAGGGTTAAGGATATGAAGGCCATAAGCTCATCCTGGGTTATCTGGGGCAGAGGGGCTAACGTGACCCCAAGGATGGGTAGAAGAGAGTGGGAGGCATGGAAAAGCCAGTTGAGGGATGCAGTAGCCCAGGAGGCCAGAGGGACTCAAAGCCTGGCGGGACACCCAGGCCACCACTGACCTGAAGCGGGAGGGGACAGGAGCCCAGGGACGGTCCCAGGGAGCCAAGAAGGACCCCCAGCCGACAGTGCAGGGACGTGGACCTTGGCCCATGGTCATAGGGGCTGAATTCTGCCAACAGAAAGCATGAGCCCCGAGCCAGTGCTCCCAGGACCTGCAGGAAGGGTCATGGCCCTGCTGGCACCATGGTTCTGCCCCGAGATGCCTGCTTGGAGCTCTCACTTCCAAAATCATCAGATGATTAGTGTGTGTCCTCTAAAGTGGCCGAGTTTGTGGTGCTCTGTCTCTGCGGCAATGGCATTCACTCACTGGTCACGATTATAGACGGATGCCACCCCTACCAGGTTCATATGAGGAAGCCCTAATCTCCAGGGCCTCAGTGTGTGACTGCATTTGCAGACAAGACTTCAAGGGGGTGACTGAGTTAAGGTGAGGCCAGTAGGGTGGCCCTCATCCAACCTGGGTGCGTTCTTGTTAGAGCTGGAGATTAAAGCCAGGGCTGCCGCTGTACAGAGTGAGGAGCAGCCTGCACACCAGGAGAGAGACCTAGGGAGAGACCAGGCCGGCCACACCCGGGCCCTCCCCACCTCCAGAGCTGTGACAAAACACCTTTCTATTGTGTAACCTGCTTAGTCTGTGGTGTGTGGTTACGACAGCCCAAGGGGACTATGACAAAGGCCTTTGCTGAAGCTTAGAAACCAACTGTTGAAATCATAAATGGAGGAAAAGAGTAAATGGTTCTCCCTGACTTTTCTATATAACTGTTCTGCTGAATACTTAATAGCAGATAAAAGAAGTTTCTCTTCATAGAATCATTCTAGCCAATAGAAGAATAATAAATCATAGAATTGTAATGTGGCCTTGCAGCCCAAACTGGTGAAAGAAGCTAGGCATTTATCATTCGTGGTTTCTGATACCCCGGAAAGAAAGACAAGAAGACAGTGCACCCCTTGGTGACGGACATGCATCCTACAATGTGATTCTGCCCCAAACATGAACCTGATTAAGCCTCAAAATCCAGCACCAACAATATCTCTACTTTTTTAGGTTCGTGAAAATTCTTTCTGGCTTGAGCTAATCAGTCCTGTCTACATAGCCGCACCTACATTACTAACAGTAAAGATTAAAAAAGTAAACCAATGCGTTAAGTAAAGGATTTCTTTTGAGCCATATCCTTACCTTCAAGTCTCAGCTGAAAATCAGAGCCCAGAGGCTGGACCAAGGGTCAGTGAGCTCAGAGGGCACTTTCCAAGGATGTGGCCAGCTGCCCGGATGGCAACTGCCAAGGCTCAAATTACCTGAGTCAGGGGTCCTAGTGCCTGCAGGAGGTGGGGACCTTGTGGGGAGGGTTCGTGTCCCCCACGTGGTAACCCAGAACTTTTTGCTGTCAGGGGCACAAGCAGCTGCCCCAGAATTTTTTAGTCAAAGTTACTTAAAAAATAGGTGATATAAGAAAGACACTGACTCACTCTGTCCCCCTTAAAGATAAATCTCCCGGGTGAAGGGCCCTCCACTTCCCCAAAGAAGAGGAAGAAGCATCCTTACCCCCAGAGACCCAGATTCAGGGCCAAGAAGGCTGGGTAAATAAACCTACTTCCTTCTTCCCGATGGTGACACTTTCTCATCAATTTACCCCATGCCCCAAACTCTTTCTCTGTCAGTTATTCACAAATTTGCTTGTTATTCACAAATTCATTTCTTTGTCTAAAGGTGTAAAAGCTGTCTATTTGTCACTTCTTCAGGTCTCATATTTCTATGGGCTCCTATGTGTAAAAATTAAATTAGTTTTTTCTCCTGTTAACCTGTCTTATGGGCTTCCCTGGTGGCTTAGATGGTAAA